ACTTGTCAGGTGAGTATGTGAGCAAATAGCAATGCATTACATCTACGGTAACATGCATATACCATATTTGCTCCATGAGAAGCACAATATAAAACACAATCACTGCAAATGTGTTGGGTTTTTAAAAACACTGGCGCATTAGTATATTTTTTAATTCAGAAAATACAACTTCACTATACATGACCAGGCTTCAAATAACAATTAAAATTAAGACTAATTTTTGCATATATGTGCGTTCATCAGATCTGTACTTGTTTCAAGGTTAGGGTACATGTACATGTAACAAACTTTTCAATGCAATGCAATACTGGCTGATCACATGACCATGCTTGACCAAACAAGTCACTAGGTATAATAACTAAAAACTTAAATTTTTTACAGGCATACGTGGTGCTTGGACAGTACCTTGTACTCAAGAAAAATGAAGAACTATTTATTGATTGGCTGAAGGATGCAGCTGGTGCTAACAAAAAACAGTCCGCTGACTGCCATGCCTGTCTCAAACAGTGGTGTGATGCGTTCTTGTAGTCTCTATCTTATGTGACTGAATTTAATCAACAAATAAATTGCCGCCATTGCTTTACATCTTTTTGCCCCAATGAAACATACCATGTTTCTAGTGTGTCATATCGTGCTATGCCTTTCATAATTGTTTGCTAATTTCTATTTAGCTGATTTTTTAACTGTTGGGAACCATTTTGTATTTATTCCAATGTGGCTTTTGTATAATAATTGATGATTTTGCATTGTTATGCACATGTCAGATGCCATAAATCATATACTATTTTTCATTGGAACATTCCAGAATTGAATTTTTGTTACAAGCTTCATCTGGAATTTTATCTTCTTTATGAATTGTGTTCTGCCAACAATATCCCCAAATTTGCATGTGTAGCTTCAATTTTGTCCACTTGTGTCGATCGATTAATTCCCAGCATACATCTGAGAGCACACATCTGAATTTTGTGTTTATTGTACATGTGGGACCCACATCAAACATACATCAAGTGAGAACATGGTAGTTTAGTTTTCAGATTCAGGTGTCAATTTGTTTTCAAATTTAAACAGAATGTAGAATTTCTCTTAACATAGTTTAGTATTTTTGATATACAATATTGTAAATGCGGCAGTTTATGAACTTGTCTTGTATCGACATAAGCCAAATAGTCAACAACTGTGTATTTGAAACAAATAAAATGAAATTTTACACGAGTTTGTTTCTTTGTTGAAAATTGTCCGGTTTTAGTGGTTAATCAACAGGTCCAGACTGTTCTCTCGTGCAACTTCTTCGTGTTTAAAAAATATTTACTTTTGAGGTGAAACCCACGAGTCAAAACCAGTTTCTATGGTAAAGAAATGCAACGAGGGCAAAGCACACAAATCGAGTCTTTGCCTCTCTGTTCCACTGACATCTCTGGAACTCACTCACTGGATTTAAATGAGTGTCCTGGCAAATTTTTTCACTTTTTAGCTCCGCTGTTGACTTTTTCGAGCTGAGCTTATACAAGTGATTGTCCATTGCAGTCAGTCGGCATCCTTTTACACATCTTCTTGAAAACTACAAGCCAGATTGTTTTGATACTTTGGTGTATATGCACCTTGGGTAGACCTCTTAGATTTGTGATATTTTTAATTCTTCAATTTTGGTCAATATTTTGTCATTTTTCGTAAAAAAGGATGTTTTAGACATCTTGTTAAAAACTGTCAGTCTGATTCATTTGGTTTATATAAGTACTATAGGTTGACCTCATATTTGTTACCGACAGGCAGAAGACGTGTGACTAACAAAATGTATGGTTTTGTGACCTAATTAAGTGTATCGTAGTTCTAATATCTAGAGACCCAATTGCAGATTTGCTATAATTGGGCAATTTTCTGATATCCAAAAACATTTAAAGTACACTTGCATAGGTGTATAAGTGCTTGAATAAATCAGACAGCAAATTGGAGATGTATACAATCAAATTTAATCTGTTTGCTTTAATAAGTTTGTATTCAAAACTTCAATGCATTGCAGAACTAAATTAGTTGCAATGCTCATTGTTTAAATGGCTAATTTTAAATTTACCTTATTTGCACATGAAGCTCTCTTCAGTGTCTAAAATACCTGATCATGTCTTGCCATCAGAAGACAGTGTTCTTCCATTAGTGTCTAGGCCATTTCCACTGTGCCATATTTTTACTGCGCAAATGCATTTCTGAACACCTATTACCACAGAGGCCATTTCCACTGTGCCATATTTTTAACTGCGCATTGGCAATTCTGATCACCTTTGGCCATTTCCACTGTGCCATATTTTTTTAATGCGCATCAGCATTTCTGAACACTTTGGCCTATTACCACCTAGGCAATTTTCACTGTGCCATATTTTTACTGCGCACTTGCATTTCGGAACGCCTTGGCCATTTCCACTGTGCCATATTTTTTACTGCGCATCAGCAATTCTGACCACCTTGGGCTATTACCACCAAGCCCATTTCTGCTATGCTGTATTTTTTACTCTGCACTAGCATTTCTGAACGCCTTGGTCTAGGTTTTGATGAGCTTTTATTTATACTGGAACAAAGTTCATAAATATATTGTGTTCCATAAGAGAATGAGAAACTGCAACACAAATGCAAAAGATACAACATATGTTCAACTTGTGCATGGTATCTGTCCGAATGCTGGAAAGTGACAATATTTCAAACGGTTACTTGTACAATTAACTATAACAAATGATTCACTGATTTGTAATTCACCCACTGTGGTTTGTTGGTACCACATAAGGTGGCAAATACAACCTCCAGTATGTTTTATGCAGATCACAAATATGTACTGTAAAATCTGTTTTAGAAGCCGTGGTCTATTGAAATGGTACAACAGAAAGGATGCAGCTTCTATGAGAGCATCTACACATACGTGAAATGGTGAATTGTTCAAAAAGAATGGGCAAGGAATATCTGGTAAAAATATTCAATCTTGAGATAAGGATTGTTATCTTTACTCATGCACACACCAATTTCATTCAAACTAGGATGGATTACATATGAATACTATTTTGTTTCAAATATTAGCACATTAAGTAGAACTTCGACAAAATTCAGTTAATCATTGAGTTAAATAGAGTCAAATTAGCATTTTTGTTAATTCGTAAACATGCATGCAGCATTTTCATTCAAACTAGGTTCAAATAACAATGGATTACATAAGCATATTATAAACTACTTTTTTCATTTATGTGCAAATTATTTTTTTTGGACTAAATTGTTACTTACCGGGAATTTCTATTTATGCATGCACTTATTTCACTCACAGTTGGTACCAAGTTTGATATACATTACTAGTATATTACCATACTTTCCTGACTTTATGCTCTGCTGAATTATTTAGGCTGTTAAAATGATCGATATTAGTCTGGTAGAACAAACCTGTGATGTTAAAGATAAGACCACTGTAGGAGACATTGTATGGGATGAATTTAATTTCATGAAAATTTCTCGTGGTGTAATAATGGTGATTCTAATCTGCAATGACATAATAGATCGGGTTTATGGTGGACAGTTTAATATTTTGTTGTATACATGCTATGCTTATGATGGTACCTGAAGAATGAAGATAATATCAATTTAATGTCTACATGACTCATAGATATTTTATTTCATTGAGAGTTTAAAATAATTACATTACTATGCTTTATTATATATTATACAAGACCAAGTTCCATATTCAAAAAAGAAAATGTTGCAAAACCACCCTTGTAAACAAATCTCTATGAGCATATACATTCAATAATTCACAATCCCCCACACCCCAAATATGATACAATAACATTCTGCCATAGTCCCTATACCAATGTACCGGTAATGTAATTTGGCAGTCTATACATGTTTATATTCCACAAAATGTATATTTGAAAAGCAAAATATAAACAAATGAAAATGGTGATGAGATCGACATTGAAAAAAATAAATGCTTTTAAGCCCGACCAGTGATTAATTGCAGTCACTTACATATTCGCACAGCTTAAAATTACTGTAGTAACACCAATTCATCACTTCCTTCTTAAAAAATAATTTTAAACATGCCATATCTGTCAAATAAATTACTGAAAAACTATTGAGAAAATGAAAAAAAAAAAAAAATTAAATACCAATGAATGTTTGTCCATTCAGACCATGGGTTTTAGTGATAACGTCTATTAAAGGACTTAGCACATATATAAAGCTTTAAATTACCTTCAAATTAAAATAAAAAATATACTCTTCCAACCTTATCTCTTAACTGTCAGAAAATATAAAAGATTCTTATTGAACGACTTGCTTAAACAGTTCACTTTAATGTCGAACAAAGTTATATGTCTGAAGACAGCGGTGTCGAAAGTAACAAGACTAGTTTACAAAAACAGTAAATGAAGAACTGATAACTGATAAATTGTACTTCAATAGTTAATCTCAACAGAAATGGTTGATGAAGTTAAAGTTTTGAACGTTGCAGGTAATGCAATGACGAATTTGGTCTTGCAGCTATGGTATGTATAATTGTTGATACTTTCTCATCAAAAATTAATGTTTGCAAAATGACTTCAATCCCACTAATGGTGGCATTTTCAACTATCAAGTTCAATTTGACGAGTATGTACATAAGTTTCAATACGGTAAATAATGGGTAATGACAACAAAATTCAGTTCAATACAAACTACCAAAATACCAGTTGGGATGAAACATTAACTACTCTTGATTTAAAAAAATGCAACATTGTATTTGTCCTTCCAAGTGCATTTCTGCAAGGAGTACACTTGAACAATAAATTGCATTTATTGCACGCTGAATCATTAAAATAATTATTTTAACTATAGACACAACCTCTGTCATTTATGCAAGTGCTTGCACTACTAATAATCAATAACTCTCGCCCATTAAGTTTATTTTATTTTAGAATAAATTGGGCATAAATATTTACAATGCAACACATTGACAGTTTATTTGGCTGTAATAATCGGCTCTCAGACATTCAAAGATTGAATGATCTGGTTACACAAT